AAAAAAAATTTATTGAATTAGGTTGGGCGACCATCTAGATATCTTTACTCAAATTCTTGAAAAATTTTAAATTTTATAGGATATGATGCATCAAGAACACTATCTAAATTTAGGGTATGATCTGTACCTATCAAAAATATAACCACTGATCTATCAAAAATAAAACTTTTGTGTCACAGACATGTGATTTATACTATCGATTATATAAGGAATAACTAAAAGCACATTCATGTTGTATCAGTATGAATGTAGCATGAGCTAAAAAAAATGAAAATAGCAATTTCTATCTGTGCCTTACAAATATATATGCATAATGATTGCCTTGTAAGATGATACAGATAAATTTTATATGTGGAATTGATTTTAAATTTTCATGCTGAGCAATAAATATATATAGAGAATTGGTATTACTATATTTAATCTGCGCCAATTTGTCATAGTGAATTTTCAAATTTTATAGATACGTATATATGATATGCAATATTTTTTTGATAAAACTTGTACTGCATTTGGTATATTTCTGGAAGTGATAATATCATGAATCTCTTCTGAAGATAAATAAGTCGCATCAGGTCTTGATCTTGTAGTCATTTTAATGAATTAATATAAAATAACAAATAAAATTTTTATTATATCAAACCGTTAACTCTGATTTATTTTTAATTATTTGAGAATTATTGCATTCACACCGCTTATATATTCCATTCGCTACTTTTTTACAGGTCTTACAATATAGGTGTGAATGATGATTGCATTCGTCACAAACCTTACACCCATGCTTCCAACCTCTAAAGATATGTTACTTTTCGATGTAATTTCGACTTTTTTGATTTGTAAGTATATTATTCATTGTTATATTAATAGAAAAAAAATAATATATACGTGGCTAAATTTTTTATACAAACCCACTGTCTTATAAACAAATTATAAACCTCATATGGTAGATAATTGCAATAGATAAAAAATCTTGAATAAAAATCGAATAACAGCAATATATAAAAACTTTATTAATTTTATAGCTAAGTATATAGAGTAAAAAAAACATTAATATTTTCGTTATCGATCCTGACCTCAGCGGTCAGGACATGTGACCCCACATGCCTGACGCAGTAGATTAATTTTTCGGTTTCAAAATGCTAAGTATAATATTATCAATATCTTCCTTACTTAATTTTGAAATAGTTAAAGCACTAAAAGATTTAACTTTTTGAATTTTATCTTCTCCAATATTAATAAAGAGTGTATAAAGCTTTTGTGATCTTTCTATTTTCTTCCACAGCATAGTATCCATAATATTGGGTATTTGTTTTCTAACTTCTTCATTAACTAGTAACAAAGATGCATATAGAGAATTTGAATTCTTGTGATGCTCAAGTCGTTCTGATAGAGCTTTACCAAAAAGATAATAGCAAGTTATAATATCCCAATTTGTTATTTTATTTTGGGGTTCTGCATGGGTTATATTATTATACAAATCGATAAAATTATATGCATTTTCTTTTCTAGTTACAGAAACTTGTGAAGTTTCGGGTTCGGTAGATAATTCATTTATAAGATCTTTTAATATATGCGATTCTTTTTTAACCGACTTCTTTGCTTTTTTGTTAGATAGTTTATCCAGAAATAATTTGGGATCATTAGTACGCTTTTTTGATGTATCACTCTGGGTAAACAGAGGGCTTTTAAATATCATAGAGGATATTTTCATTAAATCGATATCCTGACTCCCAGATATGCTGACATTTATAGATTCTATCTTCTTATTACAATCGAGTCTTGGACATGTTGAATTAATTTTTATAGAACTTTCAATACAATCACAATGATATAAGTGGCCACAGGTAAGTAAAGTAATTGGTTTTTTTATTTCATATAAAAAAAGTTCTTGATTGCATAATGAACATGGATCTAGTTCAGGTATATTAATATCACTTGCAATTTTTTCTAAAGATGAATTTTTAAGAACATTTAATGCAAGTATTTCGAGACATGCGATATTTAGTGGCGTGGGTTAGTAGTCATATTCAAGAGCAAAATTTCTTATACTTAGCTTATTTATATAATTTATTCCTCATAACTAACAAACCCTTAATCTATAGATCAAGAAAAAACAATTTCGGATTTGGTGATCTATTCATTCAGAATTATTTAATATGAACTAAAAACCGATCGATCTATTGGCAATCATGAATGATTAGTGAAGAAAAGGGATATACACTTCATAGATTTTTATTTCACTTCAATACTGCCAATTATAAGAAAAAAAATATTAATATAAAAATATATCTCTCAATTGTAATTTTAAGAATAGTATTAGGAAAACAGTGAACAACTTGAGTCTCACGTACATAAGGCCTAGCGAAAATTCTCTAGACTAGCAATATTCACGTTACCACCCTGGACCTATCTTCTGGTATTTATTTCTGAATTTTAGCTAACATTGCATCAATTTCAGCTAACATTGAATCTATTTCTATTGTTTGAGATGGTGAAGAAGCCTGCATTTAGGGTTTTGGACTATCGCTTGTCTCTGGTTCAGAGTCAGACTCTTCCGATTCTGTATTGCCTATAGCATAATTATCACCTGCATCAAGGCAGTCTGATTTTTGTCTCATTGCGATTCTTAAAAGCAGTTTAAGATATTGGGGAGTTGGTTTCTTACTACTATAAATTCTGGAGGTATGTTTACTTCCATAATCTCTTAACTTTTTAGGTATGGTTCTATAAGGCTTTTGCTTTAAGAATTTGTTAAATAGCCAAGAATTACGTGTTTCATTTTCAGTAAAGACAGGATCACACAACTTTCTTGTCTTGATTGCATTTTGGATTCAGATAAATAATTCTCTAGCATGTTCCAGATTCTTCTTCATAGAAAGAAATGGTTGAGGCTCAGGATTCTTTTTCTTTTCTCTTCTACTTTTTAAATAACCTGTGCAATACTATGAATAGCCATCTTTGTACCATGCTGGAATGTTTGAAGGATCTGGTTCATAGTGATTAATTTGAAGTGATCTTACTTCTGCAGGTCTTATACTCAACATCACAATTATATCCACAAGATCTTCTCTAGTAGGAATTTTGGAAACATCCATATTCTGAATCCTTTTACTCATATTTGCTAAGGAAAAATGTATGAGGATTCTATCTGAGTTAGCCATTTGTTCTTTAGTTTGCTTTTTCTAAATTTTATTAAACTCTTGAATAAGTTTTGGATCTTTGGCCCAAGTATTAATAATTTTAGGATTTATCCTAGCTTCTGCTAACTTCACACAGAATTGTGACTAGCGTGAGCCACTGGCAACTATTTCATTTTCATCTTTATTTTTCAGACCTAAGTCTAAATAATAGGCAAAAATGTTCATAACATCATTGGCTATAGCGCAGTATTTTGCCCTTTTCTCTATAGTAACCTTTCTCTTTCTTTTGTCTGGCAGGAGAGCCTCTATCTGCTCTTTGCTAAATAGACGTCTTGACTGGCCAGTTCTTGCAAGGGCTTCTTTAACACACTTGCAGGCCTTCCAGTCAGGAATCAAAGCATCAAGTTTAGAGGCATGTTCACACAATTGCTCTGGAGTGGAGCTAGCTGGTAAATTAGAATTTTCTAAGAACTGATCCAAAATGCTGGCATAGTTATTAGTTTTGAATTTTCAAGCCTTCTGGGTGGTAGTCATATCAATAATATATAATAAGTAGTTGTAATTGTTATTTATTTATACATATATAGAAAAAGTTCAATTCGAAAAAAATATTTCACCTGTGATATCGCATTTTTGAATATCTATAATAAAAGTGAAGATGAAGTTTTGAAATTATTAATATCAAAAAATTACCTCATATGGCTCGTTTTTCCTGCCAATACATCAAGAGAGATGGTTCAATTTGTGGAAATAGGTGCTGGCGTCCTGAAGGATGTTCCAAACATTTTAATGTCCTTTCTAGAACAATATGCCCTGTCTGTAAAATGGAAATCTATTCCGATACTAGAATTTGTAGCACACATAGTGGACCTTATGACCGTGTCTGGTGCAAAAGTAAAAAAAATAAAATGGAATCAGATATGATTAAGACACCTAGCTGAATAATAATCTGGCCAAAGTATTATTTTTCCTATCCTATAGAGTCAAAGAGTTTCTGAATATCATTATCTGTTTTCAACCTATATAATGGAAGCTCTGGTGCACCTTTATCTCCAAAACCAAGACTATCTCCAAAACCAAGACTATCATATAGTTGCCGATTAATTTGATATGAACATTCCCAAACCTGTTTTTCTTTAGACTCTATTTTTTTCTATTTATCTTTACAGTACAGCCACACCAATTTCTAGCAATTGCATTAATTGCTCTTATAGTTGAATTAAGATCCGATGTTACCTTAGCACGAGACTTAAATCCAAAGAGTAATAGGGATTGATCCAGGGCTTCTATAAACCTCTCGCAAGATTGTGTAAATGTTTCTAATACTATATTACTGAAAAGAATACACTTATCATCTATACCGGTAAAGCCTAGTATTTGAAAAAGTTCCTTTATAACTTTCCAATGATTAGCTGAATATGATTTGTGCAAGTCCTCTGCTACTGATTTCTCAGAATTATATTTAGCTTTATAATAGCTATCTTCCCATTGTGTAATATCTTTGGCCTCTAACCCTTTTATTGCACTTTTCTCATTATAGCCTTTCTTTTTAAAGTGAGATAACCGCAAGAAATGTTTTCGAGGTTCGGGTGGACTGAAATATTTTACAAACTTTTTATTACAAAGATTATCCCAAATCTCATTGTCTATATCTTTACTATAAATATTTCACATATAGAAACATTTAAGTGCTATAGTATCTGGGATAGAGCGCTCTTGGTCAAATTTAAGATTTTCAGCTTCTTCAGGATTAAGATTCTGGGAAGTAGCAACTGCATCAAAATCTGTTTCCTTGATAACTAGTGCTTCAACCCTAACCTCATTGCAGACTTTTTTACGATTCCCTATAACTTCTCAGCTCTCATCCATTTTTATTAGTTGGAGAGAAGCACTAGTACTGGCTATAAGACTGCAAAACTTCACAATAAAATATCTTGCAGAAAGACGTTTCTGATACTCTACTTCAATAAATGTTATTACAGCTGGAGATTCATCAATTTTATAAGAAATGATATTGTTATCCTATTCACGATAACCTTTTATTGCTGTAGGTAAGTTATTAGGCCGAGCACTAGCAAGTTCTGCCTGAATATTTTCACGACCTGGTGGGCGGAAGAGCTCATTAAAATTTTTTTGATAGAATAAAGAGATGGCATGGCAAGGACAATCACGAATTCGGTAAAGCATTGGTACAAGAGCTTCAACATGAACTGGAATAGTGATGTTTGTAATAGCTATAACTATATCTTTACTATAAATATTTCACATATAGAAACATTTAAGTGCTATAGTATCTGGGATAGAGCGCTCTTGGTCAAATTTAAGATTTTCAGCTTCTTCAGGATTAAGATTCTGGGAAGTAGCAACTGCATCAAAATCTGTTTCCTTGATAACTAGTGCTTCAACCCTAACCTCATTGCAGACTTTTTTACGATTCCCTATAACTTCTCAGCTCTCATCCATTTTTATTAGTTGGAGAGAAGCACTAGTACTGGCTATAAGACTGCAAAACTTCACAATAAAATATCTTGCAGAAAGACGTTTCTGATACTCTACTTCAATAAATGTTATTACAGCTGGAGATTCATCAATTTTATAAGAAATGATATTGTTATCCTATTCACGATAACCTTTTATTGCTGTAGGTAAGTTATTAGGCCGAGCACTAGCAAGTTCTGCCTGAATATTTTCACGACCTGGTGGGCGGAAGAGCTCATTAAAATTTTTTTGATAGAATAAAGAGATGGCATGGCAAGGACAATCACGAATTCGGTAAAGCATTGGTACAAGAGCTTCAACATGAACTGGAATAGTGATGTTTGTAATAGCTATAACTATATCGAAGTGACCTGTAACCTCAAATGATATTTTCACTTCCACTGTATTTGTATAAGCTATACAGTCAAGCTCACTTCAAGCAATATTAATATCGAAAAAGTTTTTTGTCTCTGTTTTCTATCCATATCCCCATAATATACACAGGCTCTAATAGGTAAATTATCAGGTTTAGTCAACTTAGATGCTTTTTCTACTAATACTCTAGCCATCACTGCTCCAGTAGATACGAATGCTACACGTTTGCCTTGCCTCAAAAGATCATATCCTATTCACATGGCTTCAGCTTCGCTATTCAGATTATAAATAAATTCAACTGTCTCGCCTATATGAGGCTGGTATCCATTATCAACTATATGAATGTCTTCACCACAATATGCCTTAAGGAATGCTAATGTTGATTTATTCACAAAGGCATCCATGGCCAAAACATGTCTTGCAGATCTTAAGACATCACGCATTGCATTTTCAGATTCCATGCATTTGTACCGCTAGACATTTGGCGCATAATAGCATTAGCTTCATCGAGAATAGCTACAAATAGACGGGCTGTGAATTCGACACGAAAGAGGCTTTCAACCTGTACTATGATAATATCCCACTCATTTATAGATAAGTCTCCTTGCATATTTTGGTAGTTGCAAATTCAGAAGCCAGATGCTTTTAACTTATTAAGTTTGGACTTTGACTCATTGCTAAGAGACTTTCAGTAAGAGATCCAGATATAGCATGGTAAAGAAGAAATATCATGTACTTTATCTTTCAATGCTATAATAATCTCTCTTAATGCAGTAGTTTTCCATGTCCCCGGAGGAGAACAAATAAGTATTGTCATTTTCTCAGTACTCAAGAAATTGGGATATGCTTCGAAAGCATCTTTTAATTTTTCTACATTAATAACCATCTCTGATAATTCTACAAGGGGCATGGATTTGATATAGCATCAGCTATTCTTTTGACTATTTCTTGCTTAGGTTTTGCAGAAATTTCAGTTATTTTTCCAAATACTAATCCCTTATGATCAGGTTTGTACTGTTTTTGCCGGTAGTATTTAAGTATGAAGCATCTATTATTTCGAAGAAATCTATATAACTGATCCTTTTCATGTTTGATTTCGCAAATAGGACATGCTTCATATGACTTCGCTTGAAAGTTGACAAATCCCTTTTTAATGCTACCAACCTCAAGCCATCTATATTTTGTGGTAACCAAACTAGCTCCCACGCTTAAGGCAGTTTCATCTTCGATAGGCTAGAATTTCTCCTCTCTCTCTGGCTTCTCAGAAGAAAAAGTTCGAGGCCAGATTTCAGAAGAATCTGATTTAGGTTGAACTAAATAATCCTCTAGCTCGTGGTACTCTTTCTTAACTGAAGAAATAGCAGGTTTTTTAAACCTGTCTTCTTTTGTCGACCCAAGAAGACAAAGGCTAAAGCGAGATTTATAAAGATCTATGTCAATGAATTTTGAATATGGTTTTTCAACTCTCTCAGCAACTTTTTCCACAAATTCTCTAAGGTCTCTGTAGTTAACAAAATATGCATAATTATATACAATATGCCAACTGCACTTATTAGCATTAGATGAACTAGCTAAGGTAAAAGTATTTAAAGTTATGAGATATTTTAAATCGAAGTATATAATATCAGCACAGGCAATTAAGATTCTGGATAATAAATCTTCACGAGAAATTTTATATCTATCTAAAGAAAGGTGTTTGAAATTTATGGGATTAGGTTTTTGTCTCGCGTCGATATCCAGAATGAGGCAAAGAGGCAAATTCCCGTCAATGCATTCATGAGCATCAGGTAACCCATAAACTTCGGATGGGTGATTTACTACTGTGAATCCTTTACCTGCAACCCAAATAATATATTTATCAAAAATTTCCTCAGAATAATGAGCATCTAGAAGAGCGATATCATCTTTACTATTAGACAGATATTGAAAGTATACATGATTATTATAACCAGGTTCAAAATCAAGGTTTGCTAAACCAGAGAAGAGCCTAATTGCTTCATTTATTTCGCTGGAGTCAGGCCCGGGCTTTTTTTGCGTAAGAAGCATAGTGAATATGCAAGAAACTAGTATAAAATAACAAAGAAACATGCAAAGTTCAAATAAAAAATCTATATGATCGTCAGTATAGTATTGGATCAGTGGTAGTACCCCAAAGTAATCAATATAATAATGCCTAAAAGCAATCGATACAAAGATATCCTGAAGTAGTAAATATGCAGGAACAAGAGCTAGAAGGCAAAAACAAACAAGTTTATGGTAATCTACTCAAGCAGAATTATATATAGAAAAGAAAACAGAAATTTTACTTGAGTGGCCTACCACCGATAGGCAGGAAAGAGGTCAGAAAGGCAAAAAGCTCCAGAAAAATACATGAAAAAAGGGTATAAAAGCAATATAGCCTGAACCAGTTTGACATTCCGTATGTATCTCATTTAGCAATCAAAAAAGACATACAATGCAAGCATAAATCGTTCATCACTCAAATGATAGAGTGAATACTAATATATCTCTGATAACACAAGCGCGAATTATTTGTCACTCGAATGACGATGCAAGCGTGAATCATTCGTCACTTGAATGATAGAGCGAATACTAATATATTTCTGATGCAAGCGTGAATTGTTCGTTATTCGAATGATGACGCAAGCGTGAATCGTTCGTCACTCGAATGACAACGCAAGCGTGAATCATTTGTCACTCGAATAATGACGCAAGCATGAATCGTTCGTCACTCGAATGATGATACAAGTATGAATCGTTCATCATAAGTAGATAGCATTATAGCATAAGCGAATAACAGTCTTATAAGACTGTTATTCACTAATAATTAAATATATATATAAGTTTAAGAATATAAAATTATACTATACTACTATTTTTATTATTATATTTTTTTTAATTCGGCGGTTCTGCCTATTACTCTTATTGAGAAGTACCAGAACTTATATCAACAGGAAGATACAATTTTCTATACTATATTTCATGTGAGTAAAGATCAACTCGAGCTAAGCTCAGAGAACAACTCACCTAGCAGCAAACAGCTTTACATTGAATCTTCAACTTACTGAGGATATAAATCCTCCGATCCTTAGCCTTAGTAGCTACATCGCTTCATCAAAAGAGCCAAATTAACGAAAGCACAAACACAAAAGAAAAAATAAAACAGAAGTAAAAGGGGAGTATGATAAAAGATACAAACAAGAAAGATAAAGAGGTAAGAGAATATCAAAAAAAAGAAAAAAAAGAAATTTGCCTATCCTAATGATCACTATGATGAGACTATAAAAGGCTTATAAAAATTACATACTACTAAATAAAATAAACCCTACTTTAAATTTATCTGAATAGTATATGAAAGCTTAAAACTAGTGGAAAAATACTTTTTTGACCATAGAACGTAGAGAGTTAGTACTCGATCCAAGTTGTAGAACATTGCTTAATCGGATTGTTGCATTCGAGATACATGCCTTGACATGTTTGTTGTTCTGTTATACTGATTTAGGAAGTAAATAATGCTGACTGTTTTGGTGCATGTGATATCGATCTTTTGAAGGGGGTAAGCTGAAATGCCCACTTTTTACAAAAATTTTCTTGAAAAAAGTGGTGGGCCAATGAAAGTATATGAGATTCTTTTTGTAAGTGTTATAGTAGTATAGTCTAGTTCTTCTGTTTCTACTAGATATTCTTCCACAGGAACCCGCAGGGATGTTGTTTCCAAAATGTCCTTTTGGTTTGGATGTCAAAGATATATGAGAGTCCACTTCTTTTTTCTTGTTGTTTTCAAAGACTCCTCCGGTTTGAATGCCGAACGCACAAAGAAGTTCACTATATATAGAAAAGTTTGACCTCTGTGCAAACCGTTCACAATGCCCGTACCTCGGTATATCATGTTTAAGAACTTCATCAACAACAGCTTGTAAAAAAAGAGCTTAACTGCGATACCAGACCTACTTTTTGTTTATATGCTCACTCCTCAGTATTTCACATATATAAGTTTAGTCGATAGCAAGTATGAAAGTATAAACCAAGAGTATCATAATGTTCACTTTGTAGCTTTTCTATAACTTTTAACTGTAGTTCGATTTTTTTGTTGTTGACCAAAGAATCATCAAAAAGAGTGATATATTTTATTACTATATTTCTTTATATATAAAAATATTTTAACTTATAGTTTTAATTTAAATTTAAGCTAATCTAGTATATTAAACTCTTTTACTATTTTTAAAGATATGAATAGTTAAAAGTTAATTAAAATTACTTAAATTCTATTTAGCTTTTTTAAAATATAAAAAAAAAAAAATAACAAATATAATAAACAGATAA